GAGAAGGAAGTGGTCATTCCAAGTTGACTCACCCTTTGGTGAGCCACTGGAGGGGTAAAATTTAGAGGAGGAAGTGGCCATTCCATCTTGACGACTCTTTTAAGTGAGCAAACATGCGGGAAAGGGCCTGTGTGCGCACTTGAGTCTCCCCGATGGACTGTGTGCGCGCATGAGCCAAATCTGTGTGCGCAGATGAGGCGCAAGTGCTAACAAAATGTGTGTGCGCAGATGAATCAAATCTGTGTGCGCAGATGAGCCGCCGCCCTTCCAATAAAGCCCCGCGACAATTACATTCTTCACTAAGCCCCGTGACAATTACATTTTCCAATAAAGCCCCGCGACAATTACATTCGTTAGCATAAAAATAAAAACCCTCAGCATAAAAATAGAAACCCTCAGCATAAAAATAAAAACCCTCAGCATAAAAAAACCGTTAGCATAAAAAAAAGAACCCACCCAAATCCAGCATAAAAAAAAGAACCGTTAGCGTAAAGAAAAAAACTATTCCCATTGTTGTTTTCCTTCAGTGAGGTTTTTGTGCTACTGCATTAACATGGATACATAGCTGTCGATTCAGGGACCTCATCCAAGGAGTTCTCAGCTTTGGGTTGGTGATTCCCTTCAAGTCCGACCCGCAGATCTCCACACGCCGCGGTTGACGTTGGTTTGAAAACATTAACATTGACTTCTCGTTTCATGTCTAAGAGGGCATGATTGACGTTTCTTGCAACTTCCTCTCTTTGCTGGGTTGGTTTTTGACGCGGAAACGATCATGCAAATCGGACCAACTCAGTTAGAAATCTCGGAGAATCAGTTTTTCCAATCAGTTTCATCCTCCATAGTTTCCTCCAGTTTGTTGGGCGCGCCAATGAGCAATCTGACATGGAATGGAGGAACTCGAAGGGTCCCTATGTAGCTTCCAACACCCAACCGGACCATTGCAGGCCCCAGATTGGGCCCCCAACGGCCCAGAGCTTGTAAGCGGGCAGTCTGCTCGACGACGACCCGTCAAGAGTGAAAGAGGCGCTTCGAGCTGCGGGAAAGTCTGGTGGGCCCAAATGGACGGGGTTGAAAAAGAAGGGTCCAGGGTCGAAAAAGCATGTACAAGGGTTAAAAAAGAATGTGACAGGGTCAAAAACAATGTTCGAGGGTGAAAAAGAAATGTTGCAGGGTTGAAAAAAAAGGTTAGGGTGGAAAAAAAATGTTTTAGGGTTGAAAAAAAATGTTGCCCAGGTTTGAGGGTCATTGACTTTTCTATAAACGAGGTATGTTGTGTTGGGTATTTTCGGTCACTCGCATTGGTCACTTCAGATGGAATTTTGTGACCACTGAAGAAGCACCTATACTCAGGGTGTGTCCCATCACCAGTGACAGTTGGTAAAAGATTGTCATTGTTTGTTGAAAGGCCTTTACGAACATTCAAGGCCACTAGTGTTACTGCCACTTGGATATACGGATATAACCAACTGTAACTTATACAGGTTCCTTCCCCAGACGCTGGGACACCCAAACCACCTCCTGACCGCCTGGACTCATATAACTGGTATGTAACTGATGATGTGGAGCGGTTGGATTAACAACCCACCCCTTTTGGGATTGAAACACCTCTTGGACTCTTGGGGCCTTGATGAATCAAGGGGGTCTTTCCCCGACCTTGTCACACCGCGGTGTTTTCGTCGGACCCTGCGGGATCGGCGCTGGCCCAGGTCGTCCTCCTCCTCTTCATCGTCCTCGTCGGATTCCTCGGAGTCGGAGGACGAGGCAGACGAGGCGAAGGCAGGGCCCGTGATCGAAAGTGGGTCTCTGCGAGACCGAGACACGTGACATGTCTGTGATATTGGAAGAGACACATTCCATGTCTTCACTCCGATCTCTACGGTAGACCTTTCTGTTTTTGCAGGGAACATGGATTTTGGGGGGATTCTCCGTCCCCATTCGTATACCAACGGATCATCACCGGATCATGAGGGGCGATCAAGAATAGCCCGCAAAAACTGCCACACACACAGAGTTGCGACATAAGGATATCATTGCAGGAGGGGCATGGTGTCTTCCTCAAGTGAACCACGCGCTATTTTGGAGTCTCCGTGCCCTCCTGTTCTGTTGAATCCCGTGTTGGAAGATGAGGGTGAATCAACGGCCCCTTGGTCTAGTAGATCAACAAAAGCAAACAGCAAGCATTGGTTATTGAACAGGATGATGTGTAGCCCTGGTACAGTACTCCTGTTCCATGAAGCCCTGTACTCAACAAACAGGAAACAGCAATGATCAGTGATTCTGCATGAAATGTGTATTTTTTGTGTAAGTTTTAAGGGTATGTATATATATATATATGTTCAGATGCTTGAACAAAGGGGTCAGCAATAAGATCTTCCAGTCCCCGTTGTTTGCGAACCGGCACGAGATCCTTTGGTCTCCTAGGCCTCCCACTAATTGGCTTTCCTGCTTGAACCCCTACTTTTTGCATTACAATATTATCTCTATGTTTTTTAATACTGTATTTGTTTCAAACTCATCCAGCTATGGATGGTGACCAAGGGGGGATGACAACAATCCACCATAAGTGTCTTTCCCTACCAGGTGGTAGGCCATAGTTCATTTGATTTGAGCTCTTTTTTGAGGCGAAACAGGATGGTGCATCACCTGACGAGGCGCGTGGAAGCAGATTCGGGAGAGCTTGAAAGACATGTGATTGCCCCCTGACATAGGGGTCTCAATTGGCTTGGTGGAAAGGAATGAATCATGTGGTAAGAATTATGTCATGGATGTTTTGCAAGTTGGCATAAGGAACATGGACCTTCCCTCTTGAGTCTTCAGTCTTTCCGTAGAACAACTTCACTAAGTCTACACCAATCAGTCTCCTTTTTTTTAGAACCCGCCCCCGAGCCCTGTGCGTCTCGCAGGCGGCTTTTGCCTGGGAGCGCACCCCAAAGAACCTCCCGCCGACGGGCATGGCTGGGACCCGAGGGGCACGGTGAAGGAGTACAAGGCTTCATGGAACACGAACACACCAGCGATGCATATTATGGATGAATAATATCCAGTACAATATTGAACATACCTGCAGACACTTTCTTCGATCCATATGTATCCAAACCAATGAACTGGATTCAACAAAAACTACTGCCCATGGGAGGAAACACGCTGGTAGCACAGCTGTGGGCCTTTGGTCCTTGAATCGATCAAATATTATTTTGCTTTGCGTGTGACACTTAGGCTGCCTACGCCATGAACGGTGCAGGCAACGTGTCTCCCTTGGCGGCCGAGGCCAGTTGAGCCAAGAGAACCATCGACACATCAGATAGAGCCCTTAGCCCGCTTAGAATCGATGTTATCCGATCTATGAGCCATACCTGAGACAGAGTCAAGACAGCAAGTCCAGTTGAAAGGAACGGTGACGCACCACCCGGTGGGACTGCTGGGACGAAGCACGTCGCACGGGGCGAAGCTTCGCCGTCTGCTCCCATGGCGTGTGTGTCACGCCACGGGGTCGACAGGTGGAAGCCTTCCTCAACTCCGCCGGCGTCGCCCGGGCTCCCTCCGGGCCCCGGAGACCGGTCGATGTTGTCGCCCGGAGGCGGGAGACCGCCTGGGAGGTCCGCCCTAATGCACCCAACGACAAGAATGACTGGAGGTTGAGGTGTGCCAGCAACACCCACCTTGAGCGGTGCACTTGAGCATGTGAACAACAAATCGCAATCCTTTGGGGGGTGCTGACATAAGTATCTAGTTTGATTAATTAATTAATTAATATGTATAATATATATATATATAGATTCTTTGTCGCATTTGCGGCAGTAGTGGATGACAAAGTGCCACACAGATCAGTATAACTTAATATAGAAGTTTGAGTAGATTTGAGATGATTTGAGTAGTCACACTTGCATGGTGAGTGATCGTTGTGCGGCGGTATCGGGTTAGGATTGTTGTTTTCGGAGTTTGCCTTTGACAGTGGTGCCTTTTACTGGGTTATTGGTTGGGGCACTTTGCAAGCTTGACGAGGAAGACCAAATTAAGTGCAAGAAGGATTGCTTATCGCGCTTGATTCATCGAAACTCCTGCCGTTGCAAAGCCCTGAGAGCACGGCAAATTATGTATCCTGACACCCAACAGACCTTTGTTGTCTCTGTCAACCACTGCCGCTCTTGTTTCAATTCATGTTTGTTAGCTTCATCATGAGAGTCTCGCATATAAACCACCGTTCGAACACCTTAGTGAAACCAGAACATCGATGAACCTTATATAGCTAGGCTCATGGCTCGCACCTGATCGTATTGTTTTGCTGGTCCAAACGATCCAGTATGATGCTTTTGGGAGGTGTCGTTTCATCAGATCCTTGTCTCATTTTCTCTTCATCCCCTCCGAGATGTGCTGTGCCTCCTCGTCCTCGCGTCCTCTCTTCCTGGCCCCAAGGACGGCGAGGCGGCGCAACGCCTGCGAGTGATGCCAGCGCACCAGCAGCGCATGGTGATGAAGCGGGGCGGTCTCCGGAGTGTCCTGGGCTGCTGCGTCTCCTGAATCTGGCTGGTGCTGACAGACACTGCGTAGAACCAACCTCAAAAAAGGGTCGACGGGTTCAGCACCAAGAGCCCGAAAGCCCTAAGGCGCTAAGCCGATGAAATCTAGCAGGTCGTTGTATAACCTGGTATAACTGGTATGACGGTGTATGTTCTTGGCTCGTTCCAAAAAGTAGAACGGTGGAGGCCTTGGCGACTTCGCAGATGTGCAGATCATTTCCGGGGAGGGCGCCCAGCGGTTTCGGTGGCCGCTTATTTTTGTTTTGAAAGAATCCCCGAAAAGTACTGTGGATTCTCCAAATTGATATGACAACGAGTCCTGTACTACTGTACTGTTCATCTCCATAAGAACCTCGAGGGAAACATGTTGGGCGATATTCGCGGGATAATTGTGAGCTTATGAGATCTGCAGTAGGAGCAAGGACGCTACTGTGGGCTCCTGGCCTTACTACTGTAGGAGCAAGAACGCTACTAATATGAATTCAACCCACTCCCCTCAGATCTCCGCGCTCGTGCAGTCGGGGCCCTGTGGGCGGCTCGCGCATGCCCTCAGCGGCAGCTCAGTGGCAGGGGTAAGCTGCGCGCGATGAGAGCTGCGCTGAGCTGGACTAAAGTTGAAATCAAGCGGTCATGTGTCCACTAGTGTGTTCAGTTCCCATATTCGTACAATAGGACGAATACATGAGCTGAACCGCTGTTTTGCACGTGTTCCAGAAGGGTCATAGTTTGGATGTGAACGACGAGCAGCGAGTCAAGCTGTGACGCACTCTTGCATTTGCAAAAGCAGCTTGCTGCAGTTTGATCATTACTAACTATCAGGGATGGAGCTTGGGGGGTTGGAGGCCATCGCTAGTAGGTATGGAGGTTGGGGGATGAGTGTAAAATGACCATGTTCCCGAAAAGGGTGGTTCAGAAAGGGTATGAAAGGGTATCTCACTAGCAGGTGCTTCAGACCACTCCTGCTATCTCTGGCGTGGAGCATGCCTACACATTTGCACGAGTACTGGTCCCTATTAAAGCATTATTGACTAGCCAAGACGTATACGGAGGGAAGCGCCTACTATATAGTGTGTTTTGTTTTTGTTGCGTCCAGTGTTCTTTACTGTTACTGTTGTCAAATAGTTTTTGCTGTGATGGAAGACACCAGCCATCCCAGGTGTCAAAAAGAACTGTACGGACATATCATGGAATAGCATTCATCGTAAAGCAGATAAAGCAGTTGTCCATTGACATGCAGTAAAACAATTCAAAGCAGAAGTGAGAAGACCTCCTGATTGGAGGGATTTGGAGGGTGTGTAAGAATCTTCATTCAATATGCACAGCGGATTTGACCTCAAGGGGTGACTTTGGGATGTCAGTCACTAAGTCCAGCCTATGTTCCAGACAACCTGGTGACGACTTGGACGACCACCAGTCGGACTCCACCGCTTGCCTCTGCCGTTGCCAGCCACCCCAGGTCCTCATCTCCCGCATCCGGGACGCGGAGTTGGGCCGCGCAGGACCAGGCGAGGCGACGGACAGCGGAGAGGTCCGCGACCGCGGACGAGTCACGGTGGGAACCACCGGGGATGGTTTTGGGGGTTGTAGGGTTTTTGTTTTTTTTTTTTTTGTTTGGTTCTGCATCGATCTCAGCCACGGTTCTAGGCTCTAGAGTGCTTGTATATCAAATGCTATATAGTAAGCTTTTGTGCGTTAGCTCCGGTTCGCTCTTATGTGCTACAGTACCCTTGGGATCCTTGGGTTTGTATAAATACCGATAAATAATTTACGACATGGTTAATATATATATATATGATATGATTATGTCTATCTCATTACACATGTGGTATCATTCTTCTCATCCCTATATGGATCCAGCGGTGAAGCCTGTTGAAAATACCAGATCCGGACACGAAAGCTCGTCACGAAAAACGTCGTCCATCACCATGGCGTTGCCTCCTGAGATCTCCTGAGTCTATCACAACTCCATTCGATGCTTGCGAGTGCAGCCATTTCACCGGCCTTTGACATAGGTCAGTACCTATAGACACTCCGTGGTTACCTACAGCTGGGGTGGTTTCAGGAATCAATGTAGGCATATATATACCTTAATCATACATGTAGTGTTTGGGGTAGGACTGTGAAGCTACCGGGACCAGGACATTCAGAAAAATACACGACTCTCCACAATGGCATGACCTACCTACCGCACAGGCGGCACCTCTTGTGGCCTACCCTCCGCGCGCGTTCCGCTGGTCGGGTCCCGGACACGACCTCCTCGCCCTCGCCGCCAGCTGGAATGGGAAACATCCCCATCAACGGCGGTCCTCCTTCCTCGAACCCGGAGATTGAGAAGCTGATCTCCAAGCCTGACGGCCCAGGAAAATGCGCCGGGGAATGCATGGTGAAACACTCCAGGGGATTGGTCAGGAGTCAGGATTGGTTTTCCAGCCGCCACTGGATGCCCTTTGTGTCATGCTTTGACAACCACATAAGCAGCCGCATTTATCATTTATTTACCGATATAAAGCATAATCAGCTTGGAGGTGGCCGCATGTTTGTTTCAAAACGTCATGGCCCTGCTGAACGAGGTACTGGTATGGCAAGCCATAAAGCGAGATCTCCTGTACATGTATAGTGCCTGTGCTACGGCATCCAAAGAGCAATTTGTGCTACAGGAAGGCTCTCTATAAGAGAAATCTGATCCACCATCCGTGGGGCTTTTTGTTCTCTCGCCCATAAAAGCCCCGTGAGCACATCCTTTTTTGACAGCTCCTCCAGCAACAGCTCGGAGACAACCTTGGAGTGAAAAAGTGTAGATTCTGTTCCTGGGGCAGGGAAACGACGTGGGAACGGCATCCGAACGATACCCCCAACTGAAATTCCTTCGATCTGTCAGATGCGGTGCCCATGTTGCACATTATTTCTCATTTCTAGCTTTGCCTCTCAATGTGGGGAAAGCCTCCACAGAGCAATCTGTGCTGCGCGAAGGCTTTCAGAGCAATCTGTGCTACAGGAAAGCTTCCAAAGAGCAATCCCTCAAGCGGGAAGGATCCCAAAAATTTGTCACGGCAAGGGTGACAGCCGCTGCCGCAGCACCTGGGCGCAAGCAAGTAGTTTTCGGGTTTCATGCTGGGCTTCGAAGACATTTGTGCTGCCTGCGATGCATTCGTTATGCTGTGAATTCATCCTTTTCCTCTTCAATTTTGGACGCGCTTGTCTCCCCTCGCCATCAGTTCGTACAGGTGATATCTGTCGGGTCGATCAATCGACATTGCCGGTCTTTGCTTCGTGCTGTCAGGGTGACGCATTCTGTGTGGGTTATTTAATGCATGCCTTCCTGCTCGCTCCTTGAAAGGCTGTGTGTTGATGAACCTGTCTTTGACCACCCCACGGGAGCTTTGCTGCGGAGTACGGTCGTGTTGACCAGGTCCAGGTGGAAGTAGCCTCTGCAAGAAGGCTCCCAAAGAGCACTTTGTGCACTTAAAAAGAGCCATCTGTGCTACGGGAAGGGTCCTGAAGAGACATTTGATCCACCATCTGGGATGTGTCTCATCGCCCTCAAAAACCCCCGTGAGGCAATCTGCCTGAAAGCTCCTCCCGTGACACTTGGGGCACAACTCAACTTCCGACGTGAAAACGTGACCTCTCTGTTGCTGGTGGGGAAAGGACGTGGCAACGACTTCCGAACGACATCCCCAACTGACATTCCCCCGGCGTGTATGATGCGGGGGGGTCTACATAGTTTTGTCCTCTCAATATGTTTTGCAAGAAAGAGGTTAGGCCTGACGCAAAGCCGCCCGCATGGAACGGCGTGCGTTTGTCCATGGGATAGTGACCAAGAAAAGGAGGACAGGTATTGAACTGAACTCACTCGGAAAACGGAAACCCAAGCAAGACACACGAATGGGAGCGCCATCGCGGAAATACAGCCGTTACATATATCCAAAAACATGTCGCTCACATGGACCTTTCAGTCAACCACTTGGCCTGAAGATTGTTTTTTGGTCACATGACCCGTCTTTACTTTGTTTCTCAGGTCTTTTAGGTTGGTTGTTGGGAGCGTGTGGCTTTGCAGCCCAGTGAGGTCTGATGTGATGTCTGCGAATAGTTCCTCATATCCATGCGGCCCGCAAATATATACATATATATACATATACATATATGTATAATCATATATGTATATATACATATATCATATACATTATATATGTAGACTATAGACACACCAGCGTGTCCAAATTTGGAACATAGTCATCATAGTCGTGCAAGCGCCTCTTGGAGCAGCTGTGAGTACCTTCACCAACATACAGGTTGTGAACCATGCATGTAAGGCCCTGTACTGGCAAGACTTTGTTGCATCATGTTAGCTCCATATACTCCTTTCCCTTGTCGTAACGACTTGGCGTTAACCAAGACTTTGATCAAGACGGTACTCTAAGCCCGCGGAGATCGTAGTTCGACTCCGCAAACCAACTCCTTCCACGCGCAAAATCCAAAGACCTTGTTGGAAGGTCCTAGGGCGAGGCAACAAGAAGTAGAAGGTTCCTTGGCTACTTCCAGTGTGTTCAGTGATGTTCAGGGCATGACCCCTGTAAGAATATTTAATACCTTTAGAATTGAATTCCAGGGCGTCTTAGGGGGCACAAATAGTCCTTGTTTGTCACACCCTCTCCATCATGGGTGTATTCTCAGCTCGAGCTTTTCAGCTCATTATTTTGTGGTAAGGAGTCTTGTTAGACACGCGCACAGGTTTGGCGCAAAAGGCACCGTTCAGGGCCAGGGCGTTGCGTCTTCTGGAACACCATGGAGACTGCAATTCATGTGCGACAACATTCAATGACCATGGACATGCAGGGATTGTGTCCAAGGTGACCAGGTGGAGTCTGACACCCATTCCGTGCACGCAACAATTGGCTTGGGTTTTGTTGCGGGAGTAGCCGGATGTAATACGAATTCGCAAAAAGTTCTTGAGCAGCTGTGAGCTAGCAGGCGCTAGCAGGCGTTGTGGATATTCTGCTTTGTGGCTTGTTGAAGCAGATGCAATTGCTTCGTTTCCTCATGGCAGTTGGCCACACCATGCGTTTGGCACCTCTTCCTTTGGGCCAAGGGGTGCAACTTTACATTATACCTGCACCAGGCAAATCTTACGCAACCGAGCAGGACCACACGAAATATGTTGGTCACATTGTTGACTGCGATCTACAAAAAGGGTCATCCCAAACAGACTTGCAACTGTGTAACACATTCCATTTGTATTTGCAGTGCATCAGCATCCATTCAGTGCCTCACAGGGTGGTTGGTTGCCTCTCACTTCCACGGTTTAGCACCAGGTGTTCAGGGACACAATATGCATACAAATGCATGCACATATAATTTTCTGATATGTTCTGAACGTCATTCAGGTGGAATTTGGATGCAAAGGCATCGTTCATGCTCCGCAGCGTCCCTCCAGCCGGGAGCCTTAGTGTGGTTTGTGTGTTGAAATTGTTTTTTGGTGGTTTTGGGAGTTTGCAACGCGCGAGCAGGACATTTGTTGACGTACAACAATAATGGATCACATTAGCTTATAGATTAAAAGGCAGCATGCCCCTTGTCAAGTAAAAACATAATGTCAAGTCAGGATTAGTAAATCCCCCCTAGTTAATCCGAGCCCACAAAGCCGCCGGAAATTGCCCAAATTAAAAGTATTATTGGCTGTTGATTTCCCCCCCTATGGTCTAGTTTTCTACCAACAATCCCCCAGTTAATCCGAGCCCACAACCAGGTCAATTTTTCGTATTACTACTACTACTCCTGCTGCTGCTGCT